TTGGTGCAAACAGTATCATTGCAAATCACGGTTTCTATTACAGAAAAATGAGTTCTGTAACTACCCTAGATTTTTCGGCCAAAAGAATCTCATTTCACAAACCAAATTCTAGGTCAAGCTTGGTGCAAACAGTATCATTGCAAATCACGGTTTCGGTTTAAAGATTCAAGCTATTGCACGAAATCCTAAAATTTCTTCCTACCCTCTTCTTCAAAGATTCAAGCTACACCCACCAAGAATATAGATTGGAAAGGGAAGTCTTATTACCTGCTCACGCGAGACGAAGAGGCGATTCGATGAGCACCGGTTCAAGCAGCGGTGAAAGCGACGAGAGCTGTGGGGAGTTGGACGAGACCGGCGAGAGCAGCGGGGAGAGCGACGAGAGCTGGGGAGATGGTGGAGACGGGCGACAGAATGGAAGGTTTGTGACGAGAAGTTCGTAGCAGCGTGGAGAAGAGGAGCCCGGATTGGATTTCAAAATCCAGCCCATTTACTATGGATTTCAAAATCCATTGTTTACGGGATTTTAAAATGTAGACGGGATTCCAAATCCAGCCCATTTAGCAAACCAAACAAGGGATGGAATGGATTTCAAATCCAAATCCCTCCAAATCCCTCAAACCAAACGCGCCATAAGTCTTATGTGTGAAGAAAAATAATAGATAAGGTGTTCTTTGCCCACCCCTTAATCAAATTTTGGAAAATGGCAGGCTAAATATATCCTATGCATTATTAAGTACATTTCTACCTACTAATTTCCTCTCAAATTATGTCAACATGAAACTTAACTTTTATGTTTTCAATATATGATTGTTCTTACACAAATAGAAATAGATGTCAAGATTGATGTTTTAATCTTACTGTTGTTTGGTTGATTTTCCATGAATGCATGTATAAAGTTGTCTGTGTGAATTAATTTGTTTGTATAGACCGGAAATTTTTTGTTGAAGGTTTTTTCATATACAGTCATGTATAACTGACTGAATAAGGTGAGTTCCATTAAGCTGCTAACAAAGAGGCCCTTACTCTTTATGATGAGCGCTTCCCATTAAGCACTTCAACAGCACAAAAAGCCACTTGGTGTCAAATTGACGCAAAAGGCATCCAAAAGTGCAGAAATTTAGCATCAGCAGAATAAATATACAATTTGAACGTCCATCCCCCTTATTATCTGACCATAAAACAAAAGGGAAGGTCCTTGTGTTGGGAGGTTAAACCTTGTGTCTCCACATCTCTATCACCAAAACAAAACTTAACAAAGCACTTGTCCACAAAAAATCAGGTTTCCAGAAATACAACTCCCGGTGCCAAACTCAACAAATTATTCATTTTCTTTTCCAAACTATAACAAGAAAGAGGGGTCGGAGTGAAAGAACGTTGGTGTTGTCTAAGCAGCAGAATCCTTGGCAATCTTCTCGGCCTTGGCAATGACCTCGTCAATTCCACCAACCATGTAGAATGATTGTTCTGATAAATCATCGTATTTCCCATCCAACACTCCCTG